GCATTTGGACAATTAAACTAGTACCAATTGTGCATGTTCTTAGAGAAATTGAAGCAAGCCATGGTAACACATACATAATTACATTCTGTTTGGATTACTCTAGTACACTTTTTATGGCAGTGCCATTATAAAGTACAGGCAGTCACCAAGTTACAAATGGGATACGTCCTATAAGTTTGTTCTTAGATTAAATTTGTTTGTTAGTCGGAACAGGTATCTTTTAAAACAGTAACTCCAGATAGATAGATAGATAGATAGATAGATAGATAGATAGATAGATAGATAGATAGATATGCCCTGGATAGCATAGGGAGAGTAAACAGCCCTGTGGTGTTTGTTTTGCTGTCTGTGCCCCTATTCAGAAAATTTCTCCTCGCTTTCTGTCCCCATGATAATTGGATTTTGAAAATGTTGGTTTGTTGTTGAAACAAGGATTGGTGATAAAGCTTCAGTTGAGACACATTTTTCTCATGATAACTCTTTCAGAAGTGACATTTCCTTTCTAGTGGTAGATTTCTCTCATGTTCTGTTGTCTTACTCCCATTCTTAACTATGGGTCATTTGTAGGTTTGATGTTTGTAAGTTGAGCACTGCCTGTGTTAAGAAAATTCGGTTTGCCCAGACTTCTACAGGCAGGTTGTTAATTGGTGCCAACCAGAGGGAGTCCACAATTTCCTTGTTGAAACAGCTTCACTGCATGCTAGTCTGTTTCTGGGCACAATTCAGAGTGCTCATGATAGCTTGGGTCCTATATGCAGGGGCGGCTCAACCCATTACGCAAAGTAAACATTTGCAGTATAGTTGATTTTGCCGAGGGGCGCTCCTGAGGCGCTCTTGGGAGAAAATAGACCTTGACATATGTGAGTTGTAGTTACTGGGATGTATAGCTCACCTACAATCAAAGAGCATTCTGAACTCCACCTATGATGGAATTGAACCAAATATGGCACACAGAACTCCCACAACAAACAGAAAATATATATCAGTGATTGGTTGGGGGGGAGGGCAGAATACTGTTTGCTTACTGTTGAAAATTACCTAGGGCCACCTCTGCCTATATGGCTTCAGTCCAGGTTGTTTGAAGGACCATATCTCTCTTTATGAGCCCATTACAGCCCCAAGGACCTTCTCTGTGCCCCACCATCTTCTCAGGTTTGTTTGTTGAGAAAAAGGGAGAGGACCTTCTTGATGACTCTTCTCAAACTTTGGAAGTTCTTCCTTAGAGAGACCAGGATGGCATCATCTTTGCTCTCCTTCTATGAGAAAGTTAAAACATTGACTGGGGTGGGCTTTTAAATGCTGTGCAGTGCTATTATTAAGATGTGTTTTTTGGGATGTTAATGAATTTTATCTTTTAATGTTTTAACTTATTTTGTGTGTGTGTGTGTGTGTGTGTGTGTGTCTATATAACCTTAATCTGCATTGTTTTAATGATATTGTTATTTACCTTGAGTCTCATTACTGGGAGAAAGGTGGGATATAAATGAGAATAAAAATAATAGCAACAACCAGTTTACAAAGTCACCCAAATTCTAAAAGCTCTATATTGTCTAAAAAGCTGTTTTAGCTTATGACCGTGTTGCTCATCACACTGGGCAGCAGTACACTGATATATATATATATATATAGCCATGAATCTGACCCTGTCAGCTCCTTTTTTTTTCTCCCTTCAGCATGCCATGCCATCCTCTTCATATGAAAAAGGAAGGAAGCAAACTTAATTGGGAAACTAAATTGATTTAAATATTTAATACCGCCTTTATTAGTTTCACAGATTGCTAGAAGAAAGATTTATATTATTTAGTGTTGCACACCATTTGTATTTGTTCTTTTTGAAATTAGTAGTAGCATTCGAGATTGAGGAGGAAAGTATAAAGAAACTGGGGAGAATGTTGCTAGTCACTCCTTGAACACTGGCATGATGTCAGTGGACTGACTGAGCAACCTGAGTCTAATTTAGGTCTTTAGGTTGCTCAGTTACCCTGGCACCTGCTCTCTAATGCTCAGACATTATTCCTCATGTTTAAGTAATCAGAAAAGGGACTGCATATAAGCTGCCGCAGACACTGTCACTAATAACTCCATCTGGCTTCAGTACAAATGCATAGGGAATCGAAAGACTGAAAGGGCTTGTTCTTGGCACAGGTTCACTGAGCTTGTTCCTTTATCAATGAGATCAGACTTTGGATGACAGTCTCTTGCTGTTGCTTCTACATATGTGGTACCAGTTTAAGATAAATGCCGTGTGTGTGTGTGTACGTGTGTGTGTGGAAGAGAAAGATTTAGTAGTTCTGTAGAGTGCTGAAAAGCACCATTTATGTATGTTTGTTTCACTTATAAGGAATGTATATCAGGAAATATAGCATACCTGATAGCAGGTGACAACTGTTTGCTAAAAGCTATACAAATGAAATGTATTTGTATGATGTATGGTTTTAGGTAGTAATATGGGGGCAGTCACGTTGAAGCCATTTGGTTTTTTCATACTGATGTCAGATGCCAGTAACACACTTTTAAAAGGAGAAATAGAGTTTGGGTAGTTGAAAGGCTGAAAGAAAGTGCTTTCCTTTAGGAAGGTGGATTGTAACTCACAATAGTCACTGATGAAAAAGCAAGGAGCTGGTAGAATTTCTTAGATGGGATGGAACACCAGTGGTTCACAGACTAAATGAGGCTTGTGACTTCTTTCCATGAGCCTCATGACTAGTAAAGGTCTGGTTTTAATTTCATTTCTTTTTCTGATCTCAATCTTATTAAAATTAATAAAATCCAAAGATGGATGAAAAACAACCTGGCAGGTTTGCTCATTCCTGAGGATGGCTGAAGATTGAACTTCAGTTTGACCACAATTTGCCACATGGTGGGAAAGAGTGAAACCCTTTGTCTCTTCTATGGATGCTTTCAACTCCATTCCCTGCCTATTCCATAACTCCCATAGCTGCTACTGTACTCTGACCAAATCAAAGAGAGCTGGAAAGGTTCCTGGCACTCATTCACCTCCTATGGCTCCTTCCATTTAATAATCCTTCTTGTTCTTCTCCCTTCATTTGTTCTTCAATGGAGCAAGCTTGTTTTCTGCTTCCTTGAAGACTTGGACGCAGAACAATGGCTTCAAACTACAAGAGAGGAGATTCCATCTGAACATTAGGAAGAACTTCCTGACTGTGAGAGCCGTTCAGCAGTGGAACTCTCTGCCCCGGAGTGTGGTGGAGGCTCCTTCTTTGGAAGCTTTTAAGCAGAGGCTGGATGGCCATTTGTCAGGGGTGATTTGAATGCAATATTCCTGCTTCTTGGCAGGGGGTTGGATTGGATGGCCCATGAGGTCTCTTCCAACTCTTTGATTCTATGATTCTATGATTCTATGATTCTTCCCTCTTTCTGACTGTATATCTACTTCCCCTCTTTTTCCTCCTCCATCCATTTTCTACATTTCTTTCCTTGTTTGGTTTGTGATTATTCCTCTCTTCTCCACTGCTCAGGTGTTGTGCATTTAGCAGCCAATTGGCAAATAGCAAGAACTAAAGAGGGAAGCAGGTGCCATAACTCCCAACACATCTTCTCTAGTCCCCTCTACAGACAGAAAGAAGTGGGTGGTTTGCTAGATGGATTGATGTGGAGCATGGATGAACTTTTGTGAAAGACAGCAGGTGTAGGGGGTGGCAATTTTATTTTAAGTTTAGGGTTAGAACCAATAGTTTTTGGGATTTTGGAATTTGTAATTGTATATATGTGCATAATGACATGTTCTGTTTCCCCAAAAATAAGCCCTACCCTGAAAATAAGGCCTACCATGATTTTTCAGGATTTTGGAGGATGCTTGAAATTTTAGTCCTACTTCAAAAAGAAGCCCTAGTTACAGTTCATTAAAAGGTCAATTTAAATAGCATCCAGGCAGCTATGTATAAGCCCTAATGCATTTTTAGAGCAAAAATTAATATAAGCCCCTGCCTTATTTTGGAGGAAACAGGGTATGTCATTATGTCATTATCTTGGATCAGAGACTCAAGACATGAAATTAATTTATTTTTCATATCCACCTCATAAACATAGTCTGGAGGTCATTTCAGGCACAATTATTAATAATTTTGTGCATGGAATAAAGTTTATGTATACTGCAGCATCAGAAAGCAAACGTGTCACTATCTCAAGTGGGCAATGTTGGTTTTTGGAATATTTTGGAATTCTAGATAAGGAATGCTCAATTTGTACCTTTCAAAGGTCTGGAAACCATGCCTTAAGAAGAGTGGCTTAAAGAGCTGGGTGTGTTTAGCTCAAAGAAGAGGGTTTATAGGAGACATGATAGCCATGTTTAAAGATGTGAAAGGATGTCATAAGCAAGAGGGAGCAGACTTGTTTTCTGCTACCCTGGAGACTCAGATTCCATGGAGCAGTGAGTTCAAATTACAGGAGAGGAGATTCCACTTGAACATTAAGAAAAACTTCCTGACCGTAAGAGCTGTAAGAGCTCTCTGTCACGGAGTGTGGTGAAAGCTCTTTCCTTGAAGGCTTTTAAACAGAGGCTGGATGGTCATCTGTCAGGGATGCTTAGATTGTGTATTTCAGTATTCTGAATACATTTTATCCAGTGGTAAACTTAAGTGACCTTCAGAGAGAAAGCAAGGGAGGTGGTAGATGATTAGAATCCCACTCAACATGGTCACATGACAGTTTACCCTTTCAAAGACATGCATCCACTTCTACATCTAGGGTGAAACAAATTAATCCAATGTGAGAAAAGGAATTATGTGGTGTTGTGTACATTCAATCTTTTGATGCTACCTATATGGTTATGTAAAAGCGACACACAAATGTTACTTTTTATCACATTATCCTTGGAGTTGAGAACATCTCTCTGTAAAGTACCACAATTTTGCACTTTGGAATGAACTGTTGAAAATTTTCACTTATTACTGTTTGATTAATGTTAAGAGAAACCAGCTATTGCCTTATGTTATCTTAATGATATTTCATTAAAATCCTTTTTTTTCCCCTTCCATCAGCAACTTATGCGGGAGCGACAGCAGATGGCCAGCCGTCCCTTTGCTTCTGTGGACGTCGCACTTGAAGTCGGAGCTGAGCAAACAGACTTTCTACGAGGGCCATTGGAGGTAGGAACATGCAACTGACAAGGGAGCACTGCAATTTGCATATTTATATTACTGGTCTCATCTGCATCTGCTTCTGAAACCAAAGATGAGTATGATTACCTGGAGCTGACAAGTTGCAGCTACATATGTTGTGCTATTTTTGAGCTTCATCATTACGTTAGTATGACATGAGCAGTAACAAAAGCCACTGGAGAATCTATTAGCTTGGGCTAGAGTGACAATCTGCTCACCTGGCAGCCCTTTCTTGGTGGGTAAGAGCGGAAGAAATTTAAGAGGCATGTATAAAACAAGCCTTGTATCAAGTCCTCCTCTGAGTGCACAGTGCCCCCTAGTTAACTGTTCACATCTATCTTAATTAACCAAGATTGGTCTTCAAAATGAGCTTTGCACCGCATGTCATTATTCTGTTTTTATTTGTGAGAGTTGGAGAGTGCTGTCTACTGAGTACGTTGTCGTTTGTGACTAATGGATACATTATGACATTTTTATTGTAAAGGCAACACTCTGAAAGAAAAATTATGATAGGTTAAGGAATGCAATGCTGTATTGAAATAGTGTAATAATGCATGAAATGGCTTCGGAACAGTCACCTAAAAATAAAAAGAGAACGACAAGTTTAGGACGATGATGGCTAATCTAGCCACGACTGGAGGATTAATCATGCAGTTTTCATGTATTTCTATGCTTTTATTTATAACGTAGTTTTATGATTGTTCATATAGCTTTTCTAGGATTAAATTGATAGTTCTAAAATTATTCAAAATTGTGCATTGCAAATGTATTTATGTGGTGGTGGTGTTCTTTCAAGACCTAAAGCAGCTTACAACTATTTAAAAAAATAAAAATCCACAATATTAAAAAAGGTTAAGACAAGATTAAACAATAAAAAAATTAAACCAAATTAACATATGCATCTTTAAAACAAACACATGAGCACAGCTACCAAGATTTAGTGCATTGTATCAGGTGGCTCTTATAAGTAAAGGTAAAGGTTTCCCCTGACATTAAGTCTAGTCGTATTTTACTCTTGGGGGTGCACAACTACATTCCTAAGCCAAAGAGCTGACATTGTCCATAGACACCTCCAAGGTCATGTGGCCAACATGACTGCATGGAGCACCATTACTTTCCTGCCAAGGTGGTACCTATTGATCTGCTCACATTTGCATGTTTTCGAACTGCTAGGTTGGCAGAAGCTGGGCCTAACAGCGGGAGCTCACCCTGCTCCCTGGATTCGAATCACCAACCTTTCAGTCAGCAAGTTCAGCAGCTCAGCAGTTTAACCTGCTGCACCACCAGGGGGCCCTGTCTCTCATATAATAACTCATTAAATGTCTATCAGCGTAGAAAGGTCTTTTTTTTTTTGTTAAATCGTTTTTTTAAAATTAAAGTCCTGAGTATTCTCTTTTCATAAATAAGGACACTAGCAATCCATGGCTATATAATCAAAAGAAGAGATCTTGTTCTAGGACTTAATACAAATCTTAGTTCATTTTAGTAAATAAAACAAAGCTATTATAGTATTTTAGTAAATAAAACAAAGGCTATTATAGATACTTTGAGGTACATGTCCATTTCCCACATTCCCATCTCTTCTAGGTTCTGGAAATTTGGCAGATCTGGAGCTTAGCTTGTATCAGCTACAAGAAAAAGCTAGATCATGACATGAGAGGCACTCCCAGACATCCGTGTTGTAGTTCTGTATGTTTAACTGAACACACGAGCTGGAGGACTCTATAGAATCATGACAGTTCCTCCACATGCTGCTTCGGTGCCCAAGCTTGCATGGGTTATGTGACAATGGGAGTGTAGATAATCTTGGTTCATATCTGCTCATTTCAAAAGAAGAAGCTGCATGAGGACTTTTGTAGCAAAATAGTGTTCAATCTTTAATGCTGTGGTGGAGAACCCTTGTTCTCCAGATGTTTAAGGCTATAAATTCTCAGTCCCTTAGTATCATCCCTTGTGGGTGATAAGAGTTGTATGTTCAAACATTGGGTAGATCAAATGGTCACAACACCTCAACAAAACAATTTAAATAAACAAAAGTAATGTTTCAAATGTCACAGAGTGGGACAGGAATATGTTAGGAATATTCTACTTAGCACAAATATAAAGTTAGACATGTGACTGATGTATTAAGGAGACGGGTTATAATGTTCCACCAACAAAATATTTTGGTTTGAGACTTGTAGAAAGGCAGATTCTGTTTGGAACCAGTAGAGACTTTCTATTTTGCAATCAGTGGAGTAGTTTATGTGTTTGCGCTTCAAAGTAAGCATCCAAGGTGCTGAATTTTGGTGATAGAGTTAAGCACCTTGGATAACCCCATTAAAGTTTGGACTGAAACCCAGATCAGATTTAAGTTCCCCCTGAACTGGAAAGCATCAGGCACAACTGTTGGCAACTAATAAATTCTGTTAGTACACTTATTGAACTAAAAGTAAAGCTCCTAGAAAAGCCTGTTTGTGTACCCAGCAACCTGCCTAAGTCTATCACATTTGTGATAAGCTTAAAACCATACTCTTCAGTGCCTCTGATAAATCAATGCTAATGGAAATATTTATTGCTAATGTAATTTGAGTATTTTCAAAGCATGGGGTGTTTTATCAGTCTTTTCTGAATAATAATAATAATAATAATAATAATAATATGCTGTTGCAGAAGCTGCTGTGTAGATTTCCATTTTGAAGAAACAAAAGGAAGTAGCAGGTTATTCAGGCCAACAGCACACAGGTCTCTGGGCTGGCAAATAAAACTGAAGTTTTGTGTAATTGGTCTGGAGAACATTTATGCTCTGTTTGGAGGGAAGGGACCCAGAGTGGGTAGTGGGAGCACAGGCTTGGATTGTTTACTTACTGCTTATTTAATTAAATCTTAGAAGTAAACATCAAAAGTTAATTGCTACCATTTTCTATGACATGTTTTTATTTAGAAACGAATTGGTGTGCAAGCTGAAATATTTTCATTTATTAAAGAGAGTTTTTAATAGACATCCACTCCCATTTCTACTTTAAGCATTTTCTGGTAATTGTGTTTGTACTTACTCCTTGGATAAGTTCTTCCTGGCCTGATTAACATATATAGAGTTGGATGCCACTCAACTTTTTCCACTAGAGGACTGCAGTCTGCAGCAAGAAGGTGCATTGCCCTGAATATTAACGTAATATGGTGCAATATATTGATTGGTCTGTGATGTCTACTGCATAGAGTTCAATACAAAGAAAGAACTTTGTATTATAAAATTGAATTACAGGTCTGTTTTGGACTTATAAAAGGAAAGTAATAAAATTACCTTTGCTCTAAAATTGCAAGCCTTCCCCTTAGCCCTTGTACTTGAATTGGGCTTATTTTGTTCAGAAAGCTGGAACAAAAATAGTATCGTATCATACTGTCCTGCTTTTCCACTTTCATTTTACTATATAATCACACCATGATTTACTGGGGTCAATCTATCATTCATTTCTTGTTTCTTTCTGGTACTATGCTTTAAAGGGAAAAGTGGATTGTTGCATTGTTCTAATTATGTTTGTTTTGACAATAACCACTATTATTATATTTGCATTTTTTGTATATGGCATCCATGTAATATATGCATATGCATAAACTGTATTCGCTTGGTGGTTGTTGAATATATTTTGAATAAACATGATGCTGCCAGTTGAATTTTCTCCCAGGAGACCCAGTTAGTATTTGCATGTTAGGCTCACACGGGGGAGATAAGCTCTTTCACTTATAAGAATTGCACAATTACAAGTTGCCATCACTTTGACCTTTTTCCACAGTGTTCTTTTGTTGTGTCTAATTCAAAACTGATTTAGATCAGATATAAAGCCAATGTCATTCTTTCATTGACATTGTAATAACTTCTCTACTTCCAGTAATGTTCTATTGACTTGTAGGACACAATGTAATGCCAGAGTAGTCGTTATCCATAGTTATATGTCTCCTGCTTCACTTGCTAGTAAAAATGTTTCAGTTTAATATTGCCTGCCTTGTACCTTGTGTTGTAAGTTTCTACTTGGAGGAATTTCTGCAAATACTGATTATTGGCATAATATTCTTTACTTGGAGATGTTATATATATTTAGACATTCTGTTTGTGGGCTCTGTTTCTGGTTGCTCATGGTTTTCCAGGGTTGATTCATCATAGAACCCTGGAAAACTGTGAGCAACCAGTACATAGCTATTTGTTGCTTGTAGAGTGAGGGAAAGCAAACTAGGGATCTCTTCAGACATGCCACAGGAATCACCACAGATGGTGGTGATTCTAGTGGTAGATGTCCGGGGCATGGGAACCCATCACCCCATGCCCCGCATTGTCGTGGCTTCCCCCCTTCCTTATCACATGAGTGAAGTGTCCGCCAACCAGCTTGCCCTATTGAGGGCAATGCAACCACAGGAAGCCTCTTGTGTTGCCGTTGCCATCTTTTTTCAGTGGCGACTCTGGTTCTGCAGCAGTTTTGCCATGGAGCCAACCTGGAAGCACTTCTCTGATGTTTGATGGAAAGTGGCGGGCGCCGTGACAAAACTGCTGATGAACTGGAGTTGCCACCAAAATTTGCTCCATGGGAAGTGATCCTAAGTTTGTTGGCTTCAAGCACTGTTTCACTAATGCCTAACATCTTTCCTTCCAATGCCACCCATGGTCTTTTCCCTCATGTTGCCAGTACCATGCTATGTGGTTAAGTGGCTCAGTTCAGTAGAGGAGGATTTAGGTGTTACTATGTGCATTTGAAACTAACCATATGAGAATATATAGATCTGAAATACATGATTATGATGAAAACAGAAAAATATAAGTAAAAATGATAGATAGAGGTTCTGTTTTATAATGCAATAAGAGCTGTGAGATATAGGACAGATGACTTTGGACACAACTTGTGTGTTGACAGAGGCATGATCATTCTTGTTTGCACCTTTCCTGTACTTACATGTAAACATATGTGAACTCATGGCAACTTCTTATAAGAAATTGAGCTAAGGATTTCAAAATGGCA